GTGGTGTAGCTGGTGGTGTAGCTGGTGGTGTAGTTGTGTAGTTGTGTTTCCTGTGGTTTGTCCCAGCTTGGTATTCGGCTGCGTTCGGTGTGTTTTCGTGTGTTTTCTTCTGGCTCTCGGCGTCGTCGTGTTTCAAACAGGCCTTTGCTGCTTCCTGATCCATCATATTTACATATTTACATATTTACATGATCACTGAATGAATTATGATGCTATGAGACAACCTTTAGTTGCCTGCAGGCCTGCAGGCCGGCCGGTCCAGTAAGGGGAAGCTCATTAAGGGAAGTAGATGTAGTCCACACGGAGGTTTGACCACTTCCCACTTTCAGACTCTCATTCAAAACTCTGACTTCATTTCCTCTTCGTGTCTGAGGGTTTTTATCTTTTAAAAAGTGTGTTTATGTAAAGAGCAACTGCGAGCGAAGAACGGCCGATGGACAACGGACACATTCCCACGACGGCGGCGGCGGATAGGTGCGTTAAATTAAAAGTATTCCTGCTCGGTGACGTTTGCGCACACGAGGCCGCATCGATCCTTCAGACATGCTGGTCGATGCAGCAGCAAACACTCGGTTATAAATAGACCGCAGGCTGCAGAAACACAGCTGCACACGGCTTTAGCGTGTTTGCAGTTAGTCGTGCCCCGTCTCTCACGTTTAAACGCTGACTGGGAGCATTTGCACTGAGCACTGGTTGAACTGGATGTTTGTGTTCGATGTTACTGGAGGATATCAGGTGTTGTCAAAGCAGACGGAGAGCGTCTCCTCAGTTTGGATGAATTCTGTGTTTTTATCTCCAGAGTAACAGACGAGTACCTGCTCGAGTTTTCTCTCCACACCCAAAAAGAAAAAGAAGCTGATAAAATCAGAAACCGCCGCTCGCCGCTCGCCGCCACCTGTTTCCATAATTTATCACTTTTTCAGCAATAACCTCTTCAGTGTCTCCGCCTACGTATGTAAAAGGAAGCTTTTCCCACTCTGTGACCTGCTAAATGTCACACCGCATTAGCTGCTAACAGCTCCTGTTTGCAGGGTAACCACGGCAACAGAAAGCAATCGCTGTATTCATGCTGATGCTCAAAATGTGACACGTGAGCGAGATGTGAGGTCACAAAGACACTGAGGTTCACGGAGTCGTCACGCCTTCGCTCTGCGCTGACGTTTTCACGATCAATCTATAAATCCGTGTCCTGGAACATCAGCTGATCGTTCGTTGCTTCATTTTTATTTTCTGGTGCCTCTGAGAGCGTGATGTCACCCGTGATCGATTCCTCGCTGGCGAGCTGCTGTTCCCGGCTCCCTCGTGTCGGGTCGTGGCGTCCCTGATGTCATTCGGCTGCTCCCGACTCGACTCCTCCATGTTGGGCTGCAGCCGGCGGTCCCGATTCGGTTCTGGAGCTCCGCCGTGAGCCTCGCTCCAACAGAACCTGCGGCAGGTGGAGAGCTGGTTGGTGAGGTACGGCGAGCAGAGCCAGCTGCGAGCGCAGCCTCAGCAGACCCAGGCTGACCAGAGTGGGCTAGCTAGCCCTGCCTGGTGGGCTCGCACTCACGGCTGTGTCTTCAAACTGGACTTCATAAGGACGTGTATCTCAGTCATATCTAGCATTAGAAAGAAGCTCGTTCTCAGGCTGCTCACTACACTCGTACTCGTTCTCGACATCATACAGTGTTGTTAAGCCTTCAGATGCCGTT